CAGTCCAGTAGCTTGAAAACGTCTTCCAATGCAGCGGTGAAGAGTTTCGGGGATATAACGTCACCCTGTCTTACACCTCTCTGCAGTTGGATAGGTTTCGAACTCTGGTTCTGTACTCGGATAGCCGTCGTAGCCCTACTGTACAAACACTTCAGCTCTTCGATGTACCGATAGTCAACTTGGCACCGCTGAAGGGACAATAGCACCGCCCAAATTTGTGTAGTATGTATATAATAATATATATTTCTCTCTAGCGTTCAGCTATCTCCTTTTAATAAATTAAAATGTGCCATATATGTAACTCGAATGTAACACATGCTTCTAAATTATAACAAACCATCAATACATTTAATTATTTTACTACGTAACGAATGATTCTAAAACAATTCAAAGCTTATCTTTCTTTCAGAGAAAAAATATTATTAAATAAAACGTTCCATTACTAAAAACTTACTGATCGGTTTAGGGAACATTGCTCCGAGTCGCCCACAAACCGCTACTCAGATATGATGGCTGTAGTATTAGTGGCTTTCCCCTATCGGTAGCATGGGGATGCGCCCGATGAGACTGGTAACTCTATACGGGTTAGAATACTCGATCTATGTTAAATTTACTAAGACTGTTACCGTTACGGTCTGGCGTAAGACAACTAAACATAGGCTAAGCCACATATAATCCATAGATTGCCCCCAGAGCCGGACCTAGCAAAAATTTTAGGTGGTGCGAGATCTCATAGTGGCGTCCCCCTAAATACAAAACCTTACTATGCAGTTGCTTTTTCGTGATTTAAATACGATTAGACCTATCAAATATCTACAGGTGTATATGCGAGGCAGCACAGTTGTCTGTCGCTCTTGACCGCTCTTGCCATAGCAGTTGTTCTCGCGTTAAAGACAAGTTGTCCATTCCGCTCGCACTACTCTGTTGCGCTCGTTAACGCCACTATGCTTGCCTTGCTGCGGTGACTAGGTACAGATTATTTCTCATAATAATAGTTAATAATCTTGTTTGACAGCTTTTAATTAAACTGTTTCTCTACAGACAGTGTTAAAAATATAAAAGAACTACCAACAACAAGCTTACTGAAAAGCATAGGTGGCCAACTTTCTGGCTTATACGCTTGTAACTTTTTTATTAATTTGGAATAATTTAACTTCTGGGCAATAGAATTTTTCAAAGGAAAAGATTCCTAGATATTACAGTATTTCCTGACACACAGTAGAAACGCAGGTAAATTTTGTATAAAATGTTTAAAACTCAGTTTCCGTTTAGCGACAGTTATAGTACAGGTTTGGTTAGCAAGATATGAAGTGCTGTCTACACATTTGGAAAAATTATTCTGTTAATCATTATTTTTAATAAGTGAAAGAACTTTATGTGGATCTGCTTATTGAAGATCTTTAAATAAGTTTATAAGATTCTGAGCCAATTTACAACTAGACAAATCACATAACGCCCATCTGTTGAACTAATGCAAATCTACACAGGTGTTTTTTGTGTAAGGTCAAACCTTACACAAAAAACGTTCGTTTTAAACAATTGTTTAGGATTAGTTGGTGTCTTACCTGCAGCTTCGTACACATGTAATATTTTCTTTCTTCGGGATCGGGCTGACTTAAAAATTGGATCTATCTGTTATTAGAGCAGATGAAAAGGCTCGGTACTGTTTTCAAATTCTGATAAAATTTTCAAACAATACGACACCTTTAGTAAATTTATAGATTCAGAGTGCATAGTTTTTTTGCGCGAGCAGCTATGCAGGTCTAGAAAGACCAGTATCACTGTGACCTAAAAGATCTATTGTGATCGCTGCTATTGCTATAGCTCACTGCTAAGCCCTATGTTTTCAATAAATAGAAGTTGCTTAGCTGTGATCAATTTCACTTCTTCTGCTCCGAAGGATAGTTTCCTAGATGTGTTACGTTGGCGCATTAAGGGTTCACAATCAGTCAGGATGTGCAGAAGCGTTTCTTCCGTTAAGGAACAAAAACGGCACAATTTTGAATTGCTTAGTTTCAGGATGACCATGTGCTTTTTAAGACAACAGTGTGTAGTCAGGGCTCTTGCCAGAATGCGCAGTTTATTTTTACCTAATCCCAGGGCTTTTGAAGCGAATTTACGATCAAAATCCCGGATTAAGGTTTTAAAATTCATTAAGTCTGATGTATCAGACCGGATCTTAAGTGATTTATTGTGATAAAGAGTTTCAAGGGTCAATCGGGCTAGGCTTTTTCGGATTTCACAAAATGGCTCGGTTCCAAATTGTGTGCTCTTTATGCCTTCCCGTGCGAGCTCATCAACAAGTTCATTGCCTATTGCCTATTGCCCGTGTTCTTTTAATTGAGTCGAGCATGGATCTCAATTTTTAGGAAAGCAAGAGCAGACAGCCTTGGGCGTTAATCCTATACAAACTAGTCCTCGCCTTCTGGTCTAAATAAAGATTAAGAGCGTTAGGCACAGAAGTGCATTAAGAGCTGCTCCAGGCGATGATCGCATCGCTCCAGTTGTCATTAAGCAGGCAGTACCTTTGTAGGCTATTTAGTCTGTCCGCAGTTGTCTTTTGGTTGGCTTTATTACACCAGACAATGGAGGCGTAGCTGATAATCAGCCTCACTATGCTGCTGTACAGCTAAAGGATCATACTGAGACGCAAGCCCCAGTTGCTCCCAAACATACGACTGCACGTACCTAAAACAATTTTAGCCGTATGACATACGTTGATAAGGTGAGAGTTCCACGTTAGTTTTTTACTTGTTGTTTGTTGTCAAATACTTAACTTTTTCGATAATTAAGAGAATCAGGCGTTACTTTGCGAAAATCCATGATAATGAAGTTGTTGGAACTTAATTTTCTCTTTGCGCATTGATAAAATACAATGATGTGTTGTGCCTACTCTGAAGAGCACCCACCTCCTAGCCTCCTTCAGTTGCGTGAACTATCCCCTTCACCACCAGCACCACAGCACTAGGACCACACCTGTTAATACGACATGTGTTTCGCCTCTACACGAGGCATCCTCAGATGAAGTAGACTGCGGAGGCTGACACTATCTTCGTCACCACTAATCCCATCACCATCACTCCTAGGACTCTCTCCGCTCTACACACGCTGCTATTTATACAACTCGTTAATCAGCGAGTTGTATACATAGCAACTGTTTCGGCTCGACGCTCACTTAGCATTTAGCTCTCGCAGAGACTACTTCACCTGTGGATGCTTCGTGTAGAGGCGTAACTCATATCGTATTATCGAGAGTGGTGTGTCGTTCTTAGTTTGGTGGTGTTGAGTGTGGTGGTCATGGGAGTGGTGGCTACGGGAATAGTGCATGCAATTGACGGGGGTTGGGAGGTTCTCTTCAGACTGGGTAGGACATATCATTTTATTTTATTAGGCGAATATGAGCAAATTAAATTCTAATAAGTTCAACCACAGATTGAAAAATGCCCGAGAATATTGAGTTAAATTATGGTTTGAAAACCTTTAATTTTTCTGCCATGTGCGCGCATGGTGCGACCATTATAGTACCCTTGAGCTCGATGATCATTCATGTCTAAATCAAACACTTGTACAATTGCATCAAGAAGGAGGCCAGTAAGTTACGTCACTTACTGGCTTGTAAACAACAAAATACTCGCGCTTTGACTTCCTAATTAGCGAGTGAATTGGTGACCGGTGCCCGATAGTAGCGCTTGGTTGACTTCGGCATATCGAGTGACGTGCAGTTTCGTGGTCACTTGGAAGGGAAGGCCAAATTGGCCTCTAAAAAGCTTGGCGTGCTCAGCAGAGCGGGACAGTATTTCATTCCGGCACACCGCCTGCAACTTTACAAGGCGCAGGTTCGGCCGCTCATGGAATACTGTTCCCATCTCTGGGCTGGGGCTCCCCAGTACCAGCTCCTTCCACTTGACCGCATCCAGCGCAGAGCGGCTCGAATCGTCGACGACCGAGTGCTTTCCGATCGGCTCGATTCACTGGCGCTGCGAAGAGATGTTGCATCTCTTTGCATTTTCTTTCGCATCTATCACGGAGAGTGCTCTGGGGAATTGTTCGGATTAATCCCAGCCGCCAAATTTCGTGAACGCACTACACGGCAAACGTCCCGACCACGGTGGCGGTCCACCACTGTACGTTTCAAAAGGAGTTTTCTTCCGCGTACAACCTCTCTGTGGAATAATTTACCACCGGTGCTTTTTCCGGACCGATACGACCTGGGGACCTTCAAGAAAAGAGCTTACTCCTTTCTAAAGGGCCGGCAACGCACCTGCAATTCCCCTGGTGTTGCGGTTGATCATGGGCGGCGGTAGTCACTTAACATCAGGTGAGCCACATGCTGGTTTGCCCCTTCTTCTATAAAAAAAAATGTAACGTGAAAGGAGCATTTCATGAGTGTGGACTCAGCGCGTGTACGAATCGAACATGTACCTACTCGCAATTGGTTCCGGCGCGCGCGAACGTTGCATCAGTCTGCTGAGAAAACGAGAAAAATAGTTTGCATTTTGTAGATTCCATAAAAATTCTCGTGTTCTGTACGCCTCGATTAATTGTATGTCCTTCTCTTCACTCTACGATTCGTCCGTAGCTGTGTCAATGTCTTGTTCAGTTCGTGTACGCGCACCTCAACACACCCTGTCCACACTAGCGCCGACAATGATAACGAACAACCAACAAATCAAGGAGGGCTCCGCGTGCGACTTGAAATACTGTGCGCTTGAAATGCATAGCGCGCACAGAGCGACAGACATTACACTAATGTGAACGACAAATTCTTTCATTTCCTGTTGTTACGTTCCGTAAATCTGTACACGGCATTACACCGCCAATACACGGTCAATTACGAACAAAAGGTTTTTATAGCTTATAATTAAAGATAACAATAAAACCATTCTATTCATAAATTATTATATTAAAAATATTTATTTCATTAAACACAATGTACAAAAACATCCGTACAGTTTTCTTATAGCTACCAAACTTTCTTTTACTTTATATCACAGTTGTAATTAACATTTTTGAAGTTCTTTTAACATCATTGCTAGCTCTGCACGGAGTGTTGCAGCTTCCTCGCGCATTTCTTGTAAACTCCTGGCCGGCTTCCTTGGTTGCGACGAGGAAACCCTGGAAAGAAACAAGAAATATAATAACATGCAGGAGCATCTTTCTCACAACTCAATAATCATATTTACAAAAAAACTGCGGTTTCAAACCCTGCTTCTAAGCGTGATAATTATAGCAAATCTCGCTATCGCCTCAAGGAGGAAATCTATGGGATGGACCTAAATTCGGACTGTAATGAATGATTGGATGGATGAGTAATGTAGGATAATCCCTATACAAAAGATAATTTAACAGTTAACACTGTACAAATAAGAAGTTTATAGTTGAAAAGAGAGAATGTCAACTGAAATTTATTTTTATAGAATAAGGGTGATAAAACAAGCACACAGTTCCCCTGATGCTAAGCGGATGCCGTGGCTCAAAGACACAGAGTTAAACGCTGATGCATTATCACCTATAACGACTATAAGATAGAATACGTCGTTACTAGATAAGAGTCTCCGGTTCCCAGCGTCCCAGATATGAAACACAGCAGCAATAAGTTGCTATTTTACGCTGGTATTCTGTGAGGACGTGGTCGTTTCCCGGTCGAGCCAATAATAAAATTATGGAGCTATATATAGCTGCAGCGTGGCTCTACCATGTAAAATAATTATAGGATGTTGACCTCCGTAATCGCCGTATTGTAATGGGGTATGTTTGTGGGTAGCCTGACAAATAAAAAGTGTCACGTCTGTCACCCAGAAGAATACTCGGATACTAAGGACAGAGACTCCGGACATCCATTTGACATAATTCTGACACCCCTCTTTGGCTTCTATCACACCCATACATCTCGTATCTATGTATTCTTGCTAGTCGGTTAAGGGTGCCCTTAGCGTGGCCTCTATTCAATATATCGTCAATTTGATCGATGAATTTCCGTCTAGGGCGCCCCTTGCCGACACTGCCATTCAATTCTGAAGCATAAATTTGACATTCATTCTTCATGAACTCCTTCTACGTGTCCAAGCGACCGAAATAACTCTGAAATTAAAAATTAAATCGGCACATAGATGCCCAGTTGGACGAATCAGATAAAATAGTTAATTTAATTTCTTACTTAATAGCAATATATGTTTCAATAAATATAAATTTAAAATTCAAAGAAAATAAAGATTTTACGTCACGTTAGCATCTTACTTGTCATGTTTCGCCAGCTCCAAATATATCAGATCGTTGTCAATGAAGTCGCCTTTCTTCCTAGGCAGTATGTGGCAGTGGAGATGCTAAAAAACAAAACAAATAACAAGTGTGACTATCAATTCCAATACAAAATGGAGTAACCTGGAAAAGTATTCAGAATACTTAAAAGTTTGTAAATATGTTGCTGATAATTTGTACATATTATTAATAGCGGTTCTGCCATAACGACATTGTTGCGCTCATAGAATACTATAATACACAATAGAATGGCTGTCAACCTTATTTTGTACGAGGATCGGCGTCGCCGGGAGCACACAATCAATTACGTCGTATTATCAGTTATCACTACTACAAACCCGATTCGCTGTGATTACAGACTGATTTGACACAAATATTTTTTTATTTTTGTTTCTAATAGTCACAAAATATAAATAGTTTCGACTTACTGGTTATAGGATATGTCTCCTTTATTTAAATTCCATTTCCCGCTGTTCATTCGACACGTAATTATTGCACAATTTGCCATTTTTTAATAATTTGCATGCAGCGACGCTTGACATGAAAATTTGAAACGTTTGTGTTGACATTTGTAGGTGTGAATTGACATGTTAGTGACATGTTAGTGGCTACACCGGCTCGGCCCACTCACCTGTTCTATTATATATTATATATTATAGTATTCTATTGTTGCGCATAATATGGTGTAGAAGGTTGTAGAGAAAGGCGCGTCTTGTGTTCTGTCCCTGGGTGTATACGAAAGTGTTCGAGTGTCTCCACAAATATACGGAGAAAGTGGAGCACCTTGGGGTTGTCGATGCGAGTCCCACGTAACCCGTCGTCGCCCCCGTGAGGCAGTAATGCGTAGTTGCGAAGGCCCAAGTAAAAAAAGGCATATTATCCGAGGGCCACCCTTTAATCAAGTGAAGTTTTTTAAGCCACTTATATACAATTTTCTCCCCCTTGGTGATACGTCGTGAGGTTTTAGGCTATCCCCATTCACCCTTCCAGCAACATGTGTATTTTTTTTAAATTTTACATAACTTTATTCAAGATTGTAATGTAATCATTGCAGCTAGTTATAGTTATGGCTTCGCAAATGAGTCCTATAAAAAAATGGCCCATATTCGAAATCGTAAAATCCACCTAAATTTATGAGTGGCTCACGACCAGCAGATTTTTTAAACACAAATTCGCACGCTCGGACTTTAACTTTTTTTGGGTTTTTTTTTTTTTTTTTTTTTTTTTTTTTTTTTTTTTTTAACCAACGTTTTTTTTTTTTTTTTTTTTTTTTTTTCTTTTCCGTTTGGTTATTTTTTTTTTGTTGTTAAAACAAAATTTCTCCTTAAAAAGCCGGAGCAAAAAGGGGGAGGGACGGTGGGTAGTTTTGTTTTTTTTTTTTCTACTTTTTTTGGTTGTTTTGTTTTTTTGTTTTATTTTTTTTTTTTTTTTTTTTTTTTTGGTTTTTTTTTTTTTTTTTTTTAGTTTTTTTTTTCTTCTAACTCTTAATTACTCTTCATTTTTATATTTTTTTTTTTTAAATTTGGTTTTTTTCGTGGTCGCACAAAATTAATTCAATTCATTATTGTTGAAAACATTTTACGTCACATTTAAATTACATTTTTTGTTTCCCGAAAAAATATACGTGATAGCGACATTATCCCCCATCGTGATTAATGAACGACCCCTTAAGACCAACTTTTTTCCGAAGATTACGAAACATTTCCCGTTACGTAAACCTCAAAACCTTGTACATTCTTGATTTCAACCAGTGTATATTGCCAGTGATGGCATATGTCCTTACTGCTGGTCGTATGAGAAAGAGCAGCTTTTTAGCCCTCACGAGTGTCGACGCTAGTGACGACCTGGTATGAAATGCAGGAAGTCGATGGATGCAGGTGGCTCAAGAACGCTTTGTGGTATTCAAAGACTATTATTTATGTCTTTAATGGAAAATCTTTTTTAATACTGGAAAAGCCTTGTCAAGCAGCATATTACGAGCTGATAGAGGTAAAATGTCGATAGTACTCTTTATTAAAACTTAATAAAACTGTTTTATTCGACTTTACGACCTTACCTTTATCGTTTGACCAGCGTCGGGGCCGTCCTGAATAGTCACCGTGCACGAGTTAGCATTGTGGACTCTTTCCATTAACTACAAAAAATATAAATTAATACAAATATTATTAACATATACTTTATATCGTGTAATGGCAGCATAAGTGATGCAGATGACTCAAAAACTCGTATAATAATATAGAAAAAATAATGTAAAAAAAAACAATTAGGACTTAAAATAGAAATGTGTACTTTCAATGTTCGCGAGATATTTGTTAATTCTAAAAAAATCAAAAAATTACACGATATAATATTATGTATATGAAATCAATATCCTAATTTTCTTAGGCTAACTCGTCTTTCCCTGTTAGCCCGTTTCTCTTGCTTTAAGGGGATATATAACCCCAAATGGCTTAGCAAGATTCTCCGTAATACCGAAAATATTGCAGCGTTAATTTTGAAATAAATATATGGTAAAGTTGAGGAAATGTTAAGTACTATGTTAGACGAAACCATGATTCCGTAAAATTCTCTCGATAGAAAAAAAAATCTAAAATGAAACTTTGCATACTAACTGAACTAACTATAAAGCAGGACTTATGTTTATTTTTTTTAAATTACCATTATTTTCACTGTAAAAAGAAATTACCTAAACTATCGGCGTCCTGAAGCTTGGAACCGGGCGGCAGGAAACAAGCTTCAGGACTCCGATAGTTTAGGTAATTTCTTTATACAGTGAAATAATGTAATTAAAAAAATAAACATAAGCCCTAAGTAAGTTCAGTTAGTATGGAGTTATGATCTTATTTAAAGTATTTTTGAAAAGTCAGTTTGGAGGTAACTTTGGATTTTTTGAGATGTCATGTATGCTCAACTTTACCATATATTTATTTCAAAATTAATGCTGCAATATTTTCGGCATAACGGAGGATCTTGCTAAGCCATTTGAGGTTATATTTCCCCTTAAGCGTTGAAGTATATTGTACTTGAGAACGCACCTCAAAGTAGTTTTTGGCTGCGCATTCCGGTCCAGTGGACCGCAATGCCTCGGTCTTCGACATTCGTCTGAACGCGACGCGTGTGGTTGAACATTTTAAATTTTCAAAATGCCTTCTTGCGTCGTAAAAGATTGTTCCAATCACTCTCGGGAAATCAAAAAAAAATCAAGGTGTGACGTTTCACCGGCAAATACATGAAAAACAACTTATTTTATGCCCTTTTGCATTATTTTTCAATGACAACGCCATTTTTTACCGAGCCATTTTAGCGTATGTTAGTGTTCACGCATTCTGTAACTCGGCCGCCTCCTCCTATGTGATTTTTTCTCGTCGTCCGTTCTAGTACGTAGTAAATTATACTTCAATGGATTTAATTTGATTAACTGCACACCCTTGCTATAATTAAGCTTATAAAAAATGATAACAACAATATATTTTATATTTGCTTCTTCAACAGCCTCCCGTTGTAGGGATGATTTGGCTTAATCGTCACGCTTGCCAGGCGTTTGAATTTACATTTAAAAAACATTTCTAATTGTAAAATTACGTGAAAAATATATTGTTAAAAACTAATAACAACTTATAGTGAACTTTCAAAAAAATCATTCAACTTTTCTATTGTTTTAGATACTCAGATTTTTCGGGAACTGAACTTATTATTATTTTTACTTATCCGTAGGTTGAAAGATGTACAAAGTATTATAACTGACATTTCAACTATCCTACTATAACAATAGAATAGAATAGAAATAACAGTAAATTCACTTTTACTTTATAAAGAAATGGTGAGATGTTTTTAACCAGAACTCCTATAGGGATGAAGTCTACCACCTAAATGGATAATCCACTCTTATCGTGTTTCGTGAATCGTGTATAATATTATAACTGTTGTTTATAACCACGTTGGTTGTCTCAATTGAACTCGACAGCAATTAATTATAAGTATACCGTTACAGTTTATCAAAAGCCCACTATTCATAGGGAAAATTTGCCGTAGATGCCACGTTTGGCAAGCGAGTTGCCAACCGCCGTCTTTTTTAGTTGTTATAACAAAGACGCTCCTGCGCATCTCCTGGTTTGTTTGTCTCAGTCGCCTCCTACAACACCCACGCAACGATACGGGGCAGCGGATGTTCCTTCACACCATTACACTGTAAATACAGATTATTAGTGTAAACATCGTTATCCTTGAAACCAGTAGTTTGGTTTCACTTATTGAACGTAAATTCAATGAATTAATAAAAACGCTATTTTCTTTCATAAAATTTAAAAAAGATTCTGTCCGACACTGTCCGTAAATTCATGGATACCCGAGTGACGTAATCACTGTAAAGATCACCGCCCGCGCTAGCTACCTACACAACATTCCAATAAAAACACAATAGGTACACATAACCTGTGATGTAACTTTTCCTTCATACTTTCATACTGGCTTAGGACAGGCAAAAATTGAGGAATTAAGAAAAAATTGAGATTTTACTTAAAAAAAATGTTGTTATTTTTCATTGAATTTACGTTCTATAAGTGAAACCAAACCACTGGTTTCAAGGATAACGGTGTTTACACTAACACCCAATATACATACATTTAAACCAACACCATTTAGTTATATTTTCTCTTTCATTCCGCGATACAAAACTCCCTACCTTTTGAACTAATCGGGCCGTTTTAAAGAAATCCACTGCCTCTTCATCGGTGAGATCCACGTTTCGTTCCACCAATCGCAACGGAGCAACGAGAACATGACCTGGTATAACACATCTGAAATTATATAGTATAGTCAACATCTGAAATTATGTGGTATTAGTTGTTGTGTCCCCTTAATATCAACTTCCCATATTTTTCTGTGCATTTCTTCCCTTGACATGTTTTTTTTTTGTTTTAGAGATATATTATGTTTTAAAAAGATGCCGGCCTACGTTCTTATTTGTGTGCACGTACATTATTAATGCATGGATGGATAATTGGTATATCCATCCATCTATTAATTACAGACTATAGTTTTCCACTGCTTGAGGCCTCCCCTCATAAATTGTCAACCACATAGGGTTGCCAACCGCAGTTTTCTTATAGTTTTGTGTTGTTATCGGGAAGATACTGCTGCTCATATTCTGTTTCAGTCTACCTCCGTTGCCTCTTACGACCCCCACGGTCATAGTGGGGTCATAGGAGTATCATACTGATAGCCCTCTTACGATACCAAAATATAGGAGTATCTTAGTGATAGGAATATTCACTACCCCATAACGTTCCGTATTTGTATCATCATCATCGTCATTACAGTTCTTCACAAGTTCACTGCTGAAAATAGGCCTCCACCAAGTAATGCCACGGGCGAGGGTTAGTCTACTCCTAACTTTTTGATATAATAAATAGGACTAGATTAACACCTATTCTGCTCTCCTGTCCGGCGAGCAGTTTGGTGTACGGCTCTGGGGAAGAGCGCAGGTCGTGTTGATCCCCAGGGCAAGTCTGAGGAGTTCTCCTTCACATGGCTGCCGCCTGTTATTTGGTATGGTTCAATAGGAAACAGACAGAACGGAAACACACGGACGATCCTCTTTTTCTTTTCTTTTATTCCTCCCCCTTTTCCTATCCTAACCCAATCCAAGGTGTCAAGCGTACCGTGCCGATGGATGCGTGGCTGGAGGGAGTCCAGTCGCAAACGGTGCCTACCCGAGACCAGGGCGATTCGGGTAGTATTTAAGCCCTTCCCTCGGCATGCGGGGCTCTGCCAGGAGTGACCAAGTATTTCCCTAGCTAATCGTGGGAACAAAATGGATGAAAACCGATATTTTGGAAAAGACAATGAGAAGTCTCCTTTAATGGAACTATCTGTAGGTTTGTAAGAGGATCTTTTAGCCTCTTTAACACCCTGCAACATTGCGCCCCAACCTGGGACGAGGCGTGAAGTGGAGGGCACGTTTGCAGCCGAACCACATTCGGAAACGAACCAGGGAGGGAAAAAGAAAAAGTTCGTTAGTCCTTATAAGCTTAGTGGGGCAGCGAGGAAAAGGTACCGAAGGCTGATAGCAGCTGAGATTTGAGCCGAAGAAGCCCTCTCTCTCTGCCAGAAGCCTTGGGACGAAATTCCTCTGCCCAAGCCTCCCCCAGTTCCGAAGGCGAAAAAACGCAGTCGGTCTGAGGAAGAGTCCCCCAAAGACCAGCCCAGGAAGACTATGAAGCTGGCAACGGAAATCGTATAAGTGTGCAGCAGATGCGGCTGGTCCACCGGGCACTAACACAGGCCATCGCTAAGACGGCCTGTGGGGCGCAACCGGGAATGGATCCAAAATTTTTGGGTTTCACCCACAATCCAGGTTGGATTCTGGTAACATACCTGAATAAGGCAGGCCAGGACTGGATTGTGGGTGAAATCGGAAAACTGAAGCCCTGGCCGGAGGCAGAGCTTTCGGTAATACCCGAGGGCGAACTGCCTAAGCCTCAGCTGGGCATTATCTACTTGCCCCGCAGCGAAGCCGACTCTCCAGAGGAGGCGCGGCTGTGCTGTTGACAAAATGAAGGGCTCCATACTGAGCTCTGGAGAATCCTCCACCGTAGGGACGAGGAGAATGGGTTCTTAGTAACCTTTTTTCCGGACGACCCATCGGCGGTGATTCTTCGGAAGGCAGACGGCAGAGTCATCCTTGGCTTTAAGATGATAACTTTTAAAGTCGGGGGAGGCTCTGACGCGGCAATGGAGCCCAAACGCCCCAACCCCAATCTCCCCAGCCCTCTACCTCTCGGGATAAGGCTGGAACGCCACCGGTGAGAGTGACGAAGACCCAAGGCGCAGATTTCGCCTCGGTCCGACGGCCTTCGCTGGTGTCGTCCAGGCCTGGGGGGAGGGAAGGTGGCAGCGGTTTGACGAAAGGTAAGGCGGGGGTTAAGTGCGCAGGTAAAGGACGTCCTCGTCCACAACAGGCGGGAAAGACCCCTGCTCTCCCCACGTCCATAAATGGCTAAACCCAAGGGTAAGACGAGGGTCCTCCAAGCAAATCTTCACCATGCAGCAGCTGCTTTTGCCGTGGTGGAGGTTTGCTTTGCAGAGGACAACATTGACCTCGCCCTTATACAAGAGCCTTTGGGTGGCCAACGGTCAAGTTCTGGGATTGGCGTCTGTCGGTAAGATTCTTGTCAATACCAAAGGCAGTAGACCCAGAGCTTGTATAATTTATAATAAAAAAATTGAACTTTTAGCTGTTCCAGAGTACTGCAATGATGACCTGGTTACAGCCTTCATAAATCTCAAGGGATGCAGGGACCAGAGTAATCATTTGCGCAGCCTATCTTCCCGGCGAGAACGCAGATCCTACCATCGAGTTAGAGCGAGTGGCGGAGTTCGCCCGAAAACACAACGCCCAACACAGCCTGGGGGAGCACCAACATCAACGAAAGAGGTGAGTTACTTTATGAGTTTCCAATCTGCAACCGCCTGGTAAGCCTAAACTTAGGTTGTACACCAACCTTTGTAACGCGTGCTAGGCAATAAACATAACCTTTGCTACCAATAACATGTCTAGGCGGATAAATGACTGGCATGTTAGTAGCGAAAACTCGATGTCTGATCACAAGCACATTAAGTTTGTGATTGGAGCATCACCAACCAATGAAACCGTTACTTTTAGTGATCCAAAAGCGACCTCCTGGGATATCTACAGAGATAGCCTAAGGAGAAATTTGGAAACGTTTCCTAAAAACATCAAAACAATTGAAGGTCTGGAGTTAGCGACAGAGACAGTAACCGTAGGTATCCGTGAAGCCTTCGAGGACAGTTGTCCCATCAAAACCAAGACCTCAACACGAAAAGTTTCTTGGTGGAATTCTAAGTTGAGAGAACTTAGGGAAAAGACCAGGAAACTATTTAATAGGGCTAAGAAAACCAAAGAGTGGGATATATATAGTGCAGCCCTAACTCAATATAATAAAGAAATCAGGAAAGCCAAGAGAGCATCGTGGAGGAAGCTATGCGAGGAAGTTGAGTCTTTGCCCCGCAGTGCAAGACTACACAAGATGCTATCGAAACCTAAACCTAATCAGATCGGGCTTCTTAAAATGCCGGATGGTAACTTCACTAATAGTGAAACAGAAACATTGGAGTTACTAGCGTCAACCCATTTCCCACGGTCACACAAGATTTCAGCCTTGAATTCATTCAGAGCCCTACGAAGGCCTTGCAATGAGCACTGGTGTAGGGCTGCAAAGATAATAAGGCGAAACCTGGTGCAGCGGGCTGTTGACTCCTTTGAACCATTTAAATCAAGCAGGGAGGATGGAATAATTCCCATCCAACTACAGAGGGGTATCGACATCCTTCTTCCTTATCTGGTGAAAATCTTCAGAGCAAGTTTTGCATGGGGATATATTCCAGAACGATGGACAATTGTCAAGGTTCTATTTATACCTAAGGCTGGTAGAAAGGACTACACTTTACCAAAGTCCTTTAGAACTATAAGCCTATCTTCCTTTCTTCTTAAGACATTGGAAAAGGTTATGGATAGATATATAAGGGATGTAGCTCTAGCTACGAAGCCCATACATTACAACCAGCATGCTTACCGCAGAGACAAAACTACAGAAACAGCCCTGATCAGTGTCATTGACAGGGCCGAAAAAGCACTGGAGGATAAAGAAATAGCTCTTTGTGCTTTTCTAGATATTGAGGACGCCCTTCGACAGTAGCCCCACATCACTGCTGATTGGGCCTGACATCTAAAAATGTTGACCCCACAACCATCAGATGGGTGAAGTCGATGCTCTCAAACAGAAAGGCAAAAATAGCGTTGTTTCAAACTTCAATTGAGGTTGCAACTACAAGAGACTGCCCACAAGGAGATGTTTTGTCACCCCTTCTTTGGACTCTTGCGGTTGACCAACTATTGTACAAAATGGCAGACCTACGCATTGACACATTGGGGGCTTTAGCCAAAGTACTTTATCGTCAATAATACAAAGAGCCCTAAACACCATAAATAACTGGTGTAGGGATAACAGTTTATCAGTTAATGCTGATAAAACTGTTATAATACCCTTTACCAAAAAGAGACGGTTGGACAGATTAATCCAACCAAAACTTAATGGCAAAGAAGTACCATTTTCCACGGAAGTTAAGTACTTGGGCGTAACAACTGACCAAAAACTAACGCTGAACTCTCACCTTAGCAACGTATGCCGTAAGGCAAAAATTGCTTTAAGTAAGTGCAGTCGTTTGGTCGGACACAACTGGGGCTTGCGTCCAGTATGATCCTATTGCTGTACAGCAGAATAGTGAGGCCATTTCTCACCTACGCCTCTATTGTCTGGTTTAACAAGACCAACCAAAAGACGACTGCGGACAGACTATACAGTCTACAAAGGACTGCCTGCTTAATGGCACTGAAGCTATGCGATCATCGCCTGGAGCGGCTCTTAATGCACTTATATGCCTAACGCCCCTTGATTTCTATCTAGACAAGGAGGCGAGGGCTAGTTTGTATAGGATTAACGCCCAGGGCGGTCTGAGCTTGCTCTCCTACAGATTGAGATCCATGCTCGACTCAATTAAGGAATCACCGGTCTTGTGCATGATCTCAGATATCATGCGTCTACTACACACTTTTGACAAAAAGTATATACTTAGTGGAATTACCCTCCAGAGAAGACTGGCTGAATGGCCAGGTTATACGTGAGGTCGGTAGCCTCATATGATATACCGATGGGTCTAAAATGGGCCTCGACGTAGGCTTTGGAATTTACGGGGAATGCCCCAAATTCAAACTTAGTATGAATTTGGGTAGATACACCTCTATCTTCCAGGCAGAAATTTTCGCCATACTTCGGTGTGCGGAAATCAATCTGTAAAAAAACTTCGTCAACCATAAAATGTACATAAACTCTGATAGTCAAGCAGCACTGCTAGCGCTGAGATCAAACTTAGTGAAGTCGAAGCTAGTTGGAGACTGCGTGAACCGTTTAAACGACCTGGGATGTAACAACAGGGTCGTTTTAAGATGGGTCCCGGGTCACGAGGGTATTGTAGGCAACGAATTTGCCGACAAACTTGCACGGCAGGGCTCAAAGTGCACACAATTTGGACCTGAGCTATTTTGTGAAATCTCAAGAAGCCTAGCCTGATTGACCCTTGAAACTATTTATCACAATAAATCACTTAAGATGTGGTCTGACACACCAGGCTTAAAACATTCTAAAATCTTAATCCGGGCTTTTGATCGTAAATTCGCTTCAGAAGCCCTGGGATTAAGTAAAAATAAACTGCGCATTCTGGCAAGAGCCCTAACTGGACACTGTTGTCTTAAAAAGCACATGTCCATCCTGGGACTAAGCAACTCAAGGATGTGTCGGTTCTGTTCCATAACGGAAGAAACGCCTCTACACATCCTAACTTATTCCTTATTCCTTAATCCTTAATGCGCAAACGTAACACTCACCTGGGAAACTATCTACTCCGCCCAGAAGTGAAATTGCTCACTGCTAAGCAACTCCTTCTATTCATTGAAGACATAGGGCTTAGCCGTGAACTATAGCCATAGCAGCGATCACAATAGAGCTTATAGGTCGCAGTGATACTGGTCTCTTTCCCTAGACCTGCATAGCTGCTCGCATATAATAATAAAAAAAGTAATGCCACAAAGCACGGTCCTGAGCCACCTGCATCCATCGACCACCAGCATGTCTTACCAGGTCGTCCCTCCATCTAGTGGGGGGATAACCTACACTACACCTACCGGTACGAGGCTGCCATTAGAAAACCTTTTTTTCCCCAACAGCTGTCGGTTCTTCGAGCAATATGGCCGGCCCATTGCCACTACAGCTTACTTATCCGTTGGGCTATGTCAGTCACTCTGGTTCTATTACGAATATACTCATTTCTAAGCTTATCACGCAGAGATACCCCGAGCATAGCCCTCTCCATAGCTCGCTGATCGACCTTGAGCGTCCTCATATGGCGAGCAGTGAAGGATCACGTCTCAGTTGCATAGATCATCACTGGCAACACGCACAGGTTTATACAATCTAGTTTTCAGAGTTTGAGTTCCCGACCGCTGCCCAGCCGAGTTGAATCCGTCCTCTCGGTCGAAGAATTGGCCTCTCGGTCGAAGTTTTACGTACCTAGTCAGACTATTTGTCCCAGATAAACGTACTCGTCAACAACTTCGAGCATAATGCTCCCAACAACTACTGTGTATAGGTGTGACATAGACATTAAACATACAAACAACGTTTTGTCCATGTTCATCCTAAGACCGATCCGTTGGGAGACACCATTAAGGTCATTGAGCATAGTGCTTATGTCCTCCAGCGATTCTGCCATAAGGACTATATCGTCGGCAAATCGAAGGTGAGTGATGTACTCGCCATTGATGTTAATACCGTATCCTTTCCAGTCCAATAGCTTGAAAACGTCTTCCAATGCAGCGATGAAGAGTTTCGGGGATATAACGTCACCCTGTCTTACACCTCTCTGCATATAGATAGGTTTCGAGCTCTGGGTCAGTACTCGGATAGCCATCGTAGCCCTACTGTACAAACACTTCAGCACTTCGACATACCGACAGTCAACTTGGCACCGCTGAAGGGACTGTAGCACCGCCCAAATTTTGACGGAATGAAAGGTTTTCTCATAGTCCACATACGCCAGGCAAAGTGGCAGATTGTACTCTTCGGTCTTCTGTACAATCTGCCGCAGGATATGTATGTGGTCTATAGTACTGAAGCTTTTTCGGAAACCGGCTTGTTCGGAAGGCTGGAAGTCGTCGAGTCTGAGTGAGAGACGATTCGTAAGGACTCTCGAAAACAGCACGTAGACGCGGCTCAGAAGGGAAATCGGTCTGTAGTTCCTCAAGAGAGCGTTGTCGCCTTTCTTGAAGAACAAGACCACTTCTGCTCCACGCCTCCGGAGTAGTGCCACCATGGAGGACGGAATTGAAGAGCTTCTGAAGGACTTCAAGTACCGGTGTTCGACCCGCTTCCAGATCCTCTGTAATTCCATCCTCGCCTGGGGCCCTGCCGTTTTTAAGGTGCTGGAGAGCCATTCTAATCTCGCTCAGACTGACGTCAGATTTTATACTCGTATCATCGGAATAGTGTCGGATAAGACTTGCTCTTGAATCGTTACTCACCCTTGCATGTGGCTCCAATGATGATGTGACTGCAGCTGCCCATAGAACCTCTCAATCTCAATCGAAATCTCAGGTGTCCCAGAAACAATGCTGCCACACTCGTCTTCAGCTTTGACAGTTGGCTCTTTCTGGCAGATAGATCTCTGGCAAAGACTTTGGAGCCCTGATTCCGCTCGATCGCATCTTCAATACAAGCCGTATTAAAGTTGCTTAAATCCCGCCGCATGCCAAATCTGCTGACGAATGCAGCCTCATCTCCCGTCTAACAGCCATGAGATTAAGAGTGTGATCAGAGAGTTTTTGTGTTTTTCTGCGGCTGGTCTTGCAGAACATAGCTCTGATCGCATGGACAGTTTCCCCGAGCTTGTCATTCATATCGTCCACTGCATTGCAATCTTCTAGGCACTAAAAGCGGTTTTGTAACCCGAGCAAAAAGGTTTTGGGATTCTGGATTAGATCACGAGGGGGACGTAGCGTTGACTTCATTAGACGATACCTCTCCGACTTAACGTTTAGGTTCAGTGTGCCTCTAACCATTCCGTGATCGCTACCAGTTTTCACCCTTGTGATCACTGAGACATAACTGAACAGTTGCCGTCTAGTCGTCATAATGAAGTCCATCTCATTTTTTTGTTAAACCGTCGGGGCTCAACCAGGTCCACTTTTTGTGAGGCCGTTTCTGGAAAAAAGAGTTCATCATAAAGAGTTCCTCTTTCTCCATAAAGTCGACCAGCTGCTAGCCTCTTGAGTTCCGTTGCCTTATCCCAAATTTCCCTACCTTCAGCTCACTGTTCTTTCTTGTGACTAGTTTTGCGTTGAAGTTTCCCATTAACACCGTATAGTGAGTTTTGGAGGAATGCATGGCTCTAGAAATATCCTCATACATTTCCTCCACCTCCTCATTGGGATGTTTCGACGTTCGTGTGTAAACCTGTACGACCTTCAGCGAATACCGTTTGGTGATTCTGTGTATAAGGTACGCAATCCTCGTCGACATACTCCCAATCTTTACAACGTTGTTAACGAGAGACTTGTGGACGATAAATCCAACACCTCCTTGGGACAGGGAGGGCGACCATCTGTCCCGTATTTGTATGCACGTGCATTATTAATGCATGGATGGATACACATTGGTATATCCATCCATCTATTAATTACAGCCTATAAATTTCCACTGCTTGAGGCCTCCCCTCATAAATTGTCTGCCACATAGGGTTGCCAACCGCAATTTTCTTATAGTTTTATGTTGTTATCGGGAAGATACTGCTGCTCATATTCTGTTCCAGTCTCCCTCAGTCGCCTCTTACGACCCCCACGGTACGATATGGGTTAGTGAATATTCCTACACCGCCACAAAACTGTCAGGGGTCAGCAGCCACGAGGGAAGCTAGTCGACCAAGTCGGTTAATATATATTGTTACTCAGCATGTCCGTCAGCGGCACTACTCGTATGAAACCACGAAATTATGATGATGAATTTAAAATTTATTTAAATTGCCTAATTGTAACGCAGTTATGACATTCAGAAAACCAATTAAATAAACATAAAAAATTAAAGAAAACACACAGAAATAGTTACAACTATTTTTATTGTTTCCAACAAAATCTATATGATAATTACGTTAACTTTTGGTATAATCAGTCCAAGTGTCAGTTGTCTGTCACAGTCACAATTACCTAGCTCAGTCGTTCGAGCCCAGCATGACAGCAATAGATCGTAAATAGCCTATACTTAAAAAATTTTGCAGCTCAGATATTATAAAAAACTGCGGTTGACAACTCACTTGCCAAGCGTGGTAACTGTAGCAAATATCTCCCCTATGAGGTAATCTATTGAGGAGGCCTATAATCAGCTGTAGACTTTAGGAGGATTTAACGGTAACGGTAACGGATATGCTCTTAATAGCAGTGGGCGGACTCAATACATTTTTGAGTACTTACCTTAGGTTAACAAAAGCGTACGTAAGATCAGACTTGTAGAAAACGCACGATTCTGGAACCCTAACTTGACCGAAAACGTATGTCGGCTCATCCTCCAATTCATGGACTCGAGTCTCGTTCAACTCAGAAGCCGGGGTAGCTTTAATAGTATGCTCTGGTAGTAGTTTCTTTCGAAGGTTCAAAGTGTACAGTGAGTATACGTCATTCCTAAAACACATGTTTTATTAAAACAGGACACAATAAAAGAAAATATTAGTTACGATTTACTTTAAAATATTTTACTGTGTCATCCTAAACTGATTTACATATCAGTGTAAGTTATAACAATAGAAATAATATGTTATTTAAATGTAGTTTATCAATAATAATAATATCCTTTAAATCTGCCATGTGACAAAATTATAGTGCATGAGGCGCACTGCCTATTCCTTATACGATACGATCAGAATGAGATCAGGCTTGTTCAATGAGATCTCATTCTTACATTCATGCTGTGCGAGGCGCGAAGATGAAACACCGGCAGCTAGCTTCCTGAATCCGAGTTGCTACTGAGATTTTCTCATTCATCAACTCAGATGAAGTAAAAATAGGTAGATATCGCACCTAGAATAATAAACTGTAAACAATTTTATAACTTTGTGTGAGTCAGAGAAATGTTGCCACTTCTTTTTAAAATTCCCTGAAAATCGAGATAAAATACTAAAAATATAAGAGTAATATGCGATGCGAATGGGAAAGTATATCTGTCTGTTTTAATAAATTTCAACAATTTAACAATTCAAAAAAAGGATGATGAACGTAGGAGGCGTCTGTATCATTTTAAAGTCTTCTTGATAGATTGTCCATAGAGCCGGTAATCATCGATAAAATATACAACATAATATGTAATGTAAAACACGAATATTATGAAAAAAATTTAACGCTAAAAAAATCGTAAAAAACTAGTTGGAACGAAAAATAAATTTTCATGGAATAAAAAAAAATACTTTTCTAGATGAAAAAAGTATATTTCAGTAAATACAAAATAGAACAAACTCCAGCCCGGGGTACAAAGGAGTGTTCTAATTTGTAGCCCGGGTAAGAGAGATATGAAGTATCAGACGGAGAGGACACCTGAGCCTCGGTTAAAAAGAGCAAGGCCGACTTCGCCTTCTCCAGATGGTAGGGGACAACGTTAAGATTGGAATGAAGTCTCCTTATGTTGCAAAAATTCACAGTGTGACAGGGGTCACCTTGGTCTTATTGCTCCGCTTGCCTCAAGCAGCTTTAGTCGTGAGTGGAATTTCCCCCCCGTCCTCCCCCAGACTACGCGGGGCAGCCTAAGCAGCCACGCTCAGGAAGAGTTAAGTAGCTTGGTCGTGCATGCTTAGCGAGCGTCGTGAATTATCCATCACCAGGGGTGCGGATACCCTTCTAGGGTAGTTTTTATTTGATTCCGCTACGATGTTAAGGCGGAGGTGGAATTGGGCCTCCGGCCACCTACACTTACCAAACGAAACGCAATGGTAAACCTCTACTTTACGCTGGTATTCTGTGAGGTCGTGGTGCCACCCCGGTTCGAGCCGGCCAATCCGTGTGACAGCAATAGCCGCTGTGTTGCTCTACCACTGTCAAGTCAAGAGCATGGATGCCATTTTGCTTTATTTCAGCTCAGTCTTATAGCAGCTTCCTACACTCATGTCATATTAAAATATTCGTTGGTAGCCTAAGATCATAAATAGTTAGTGATAGTAAAATAGATTGTAAGTACTCAACAATTGAAACAGAAACATCAGCGACTTAAATATTAAATATTTACCTTGAATTCAATTTGATGTAACATAATAACAACTAATTAAAAAAATAAGCTGACTACATATATTTTTATAACTTAACCTAAAAATTAATTACGCAAATCTTGGACCAATAAAAATAAAAAATACTGGCAACATTATACCGTTACGTAAACTCGAAATATTGACATTCGTGCTTCGAATAACCTTCAAAACTGTGTTGGAATAACAAAATAAAATTCAGTTAAATGAGAGTTTAGGAGTGAAACGATATTGCTTCAGACGTTTTGTTCACTTCAGTATTGTTTTTGCACCATTTAACTACACGGGACGGCATTTTGTAGGCAAATTTACTGCACGACGCCCCGGGAAGTACTGAGCGAAAATGAGCGTAGTTTGATGCATATGTGTGTGTGAACGCATGTGCTTACATAAAGAAGCAGAGTTTTTTGACTTCATTAATAACAAAGGCCGCGCTGTATCTACCTTTTTTACTTCATTTGAGTTCATCAGTAGATAAACCCAATAACTGAATTTTGACCCGACGCGAAATTCAATCCCTGGAACCCACAGGATCAGAATCCGCTTTTACGATCACTTGACCAATGTCCTCAACGTATCAACTAAGTGGGAAACCGTAATAAATATATAAATAAAGAGAGCAGCAGTCCTAATAGCCTGCACAGTCAAACCTTGGCTCTAGTGTTAAAACGCCAGATATTAATACCCAGCTCAGCGACGGGTAGCAGCAGTTGAAGGCAATGGCGGATGTGCAATAAATAAGAGTATTATTACAGTTTAGACCTTACAGTTGTGACACGAATTTGATGTTAGGCGATGCCGCCGCCCGCGTAGGCATTGACGCGGTAAACTTGTATGCTAGGGTTGTCACGAAAATGAAAATTAAATAATTTTGGATATTATAATACATACTCATAATAATTTATTAACATTATGTACACACTTGTAAGATATATAAGTTAAAAACATTTATCGAACAAGACAATTTTTTATTACTACAAGAAAAAGCACATGTACAAGTGTCGCACTGCCAAATATTTTCGTTACACGTTCTTTTTATAGATGTTTTCAGTTTTCGATTGTTGTAGTGTATTCGCATTCGGATAAAATATGTTATCAAAAAGAAAATGGATACTTAAACATGGCCGTCATTTGAATTCAATTTTACTAACCAATTCATATAACCATAACAGTAATTTACCATTATAGATATCATATTTTATGAAAACTACGGTTAAAATTAGTTAAATAAATACCGTAAAACACACTTGCGCCAACCACAAGGGTGGCCTGCCTCCTACTCTGCAGTGCCCCCACCGATACTCGCACGGGTACATTCGTTTCCCAACTGTAAGGTCTTTAAACTATGGTATTATTATATGATTGAGCAATAGAGAAAGAAGCGGAATTCAGACGTAGCTTACTTAACTAATAAGTTTTAGATAACAGTAACGTTTTAAGATTATAAGTTACTAGTGTCAATTTTGGTAATTCAATCGGCAGTTTTTATTGTCACAAACCCTAAGCTCGTAACAATACTTATTGTTGCTGTTATTAATATTAGCCAGAACAACTCTATAACTCTTCTTTAGATAATAAGTCTGACAAACGAGTCACACAATCCACCTGATGGTAAGCAGATGCCGTGGCCAATAATCATCTACAACTATTCTGGATTAAGAATCAAAACCACCCCTGAGGAATAAGATGGAATGCCAGTATAAAGGATATTTCGTTCTCTACGCTCATCTTTCACGCAGGTCGAGCCGACAAATTCTTGCCACAACCCACAGCTGCAGTGTTTTCGGTCACGGTGGTCTACCACATATACTAAAACCTATTTTAATAAAACTTACCTTCTGTGTTCAAACACTGGCATATTCTGCCTAACACCAGCCAACCTTTCCGAACAGATCTCAGCAACTTTATAGCAGGGCGATGATTCGCCGCAGTCAGCTATCACATCGCCCCACGGATCCACGCAAAGAGCATGACCGTAAGAACGGCGTTTTGGATTGTGTTGACCAGTCTGTGCCGCTGCTATTACGTAGCACTGATTCTCTATAGCTCGAGCCCTGAGGAATAGTATTAAAATCGATTTGACGCTTTTATTTTGTCGATATACTAAATTTAAGTAACATAATGTGTTTCTGGGGTGGTGACAGCATAAGAGAAAGCTAGTATCTATTGCGCGCCGATTCAAGCGTGCCAAATTAAGGATGAAAACTTAAAATGTTTGTGTTAGAAATAATTCACGACAGTAGTCGGAAGGTGAATTCGAAGGCATGAATTAGTTTCGCAATTAGTATCCTTCTTTGAGATTCCGAACAAAATGTGACACATTTTACTAACATGCAACTTGGAATACTTATGAGTGTAACATACCTGAGCAACAGATGCCAATGTGCGACGCCGGTAGTATACGTGAATGCAGATGGATAAGTCAAAATATCCGCCCGCATTGTAGCCAGAGCTGTACTTAATTCTGGGAAACGCATATCATAGCAGATCGCCAAGCCTAAAAGGAGAGAAATATAGAGCAAATTTTAGAAGAAACTTGTTTACACTCTCATGGTGTTAAACGAACGGAAGTGACTAAAAAAATATTCATGATCTTTTATAGAAGTTGGAACACACAAATCAAAAAATCGGAATTTATTTTGTAGTGGCTATAGGTTATCGATATAAATATAGATAAATAATTAAAAAAAAAGTTGTAAATAGTGTTTTCACAATAATAATTCTATATATTCTCAACAATATTTGTTTTAATTCACATCTTGATCTACCAATATTACAATAGCGAAGGTATTCATTTTTTTTTTTTTATAGGCTAGGGTGACAAACGAGCACACAGTCCACCTGATGGTAAGTGGTTGCTGTGGCCCATAGACATCTACATCTATCCTCGATTACAAATCAAAATGCAGATGCGTTGTCACCAGTGAGGACTAAGATGGAATGCCTCGTTTCCAGTAAAAAGGGTCTCCGGTTCTCTACACTCACCATACGAAATACAGCAGCATTAAGCTATTATTTCACGCTGGTATTCTGTGAGAGCGTGGTCCTTCCCCGGTCGAGCCGACCCATTCGTGCTACAGCTATACTACTAATATAACTGCAGCATGGCTCTACCACGTAATAAATCATTTATACCTTAATTTTGAATTCATAACACTGTGGCCGTGGTAGGAAAAGGGGAGATCTCCCGCCGGGCAAGGTGTTCTGCCCGGGGAGCGGCCAACACTCCATGTGATAGTTCGGAGATGTTCTATATATACTGTTTCTGATTCGGAATGTTGATAGCGTGATTTAGACTTCGGTGTATTTCGATTGTGGCGCGACGACAGCGCCGCTACATCACCCCCTGCTCAGACCGGAGGTCGATAGTGCAGCCTCGTTGCCGACGAATGTGCAAGTGCCAGGAGATTGCCTTGTAGTCTGCGGTGAGTCGAGAAGAAGGCAAGTGATCTGCGAGAGTGCCGTGAAGCAGAGGCGAGCAGTAAGGCTCAGAGCCGTGCCGAACACTGTATGGCGCAGAGAGTAGCTTGAAGGAACAGGAAGCATTATTATTCCAGTGCTGCGATGAACCTTGTGAAGCTAGATGGCTTGCAGGATATGAAGACTGCAGTTTATATCTGCTCGGGCGCGAATGGGTGGGGTATTATGACGATGATGAAGCTTGAAGTTTCCGAAGGTTGTTTGGTTGCGTGTTCAGATCACGTCGGGGTCACCACTGTGGCCGAAGTAGGAAAAGGGGAGATCTCCCGCCGGGCAAGGTGTTCTGCCCGGGGAGCGGCTCACACTCCGAGTGATAGTTCGGAGAAGTTCTATATATACTGTTTCTGATTCGGAATGTTGATAGCGTGATTTAGACTTCGGTGTATTTCGATTGTGGCGCGACGACAGCGCCGCTACAACACTTTGATTCACTTAATCAAAGATCTTACGAGTATTTATAACTTTGATTTAAATAAAGAAATGGGTGCAATAAAAAACAAAAATAAATATGCAATAAAATTTCATACCTACCAATTCTTCCTAAGGGTGTATCAACAGGAGTAACAACATGGCTGCCAGAGTTTGAAAAATCGCTTTCCTTTAAACGGACATTCTTCTCAGGTATCTCTACATCAAATAAGTGCAACTTCCTGTATGTTTGCACTATCTCACCCTTGTTGTCTATAATTATGTGGGTATTAAATATTTTTAAGGGATTATTTTCATCCTTAAATTTAAAACGAGACATTATTAAGAAAAATTTAAGTTATAGTAAAATTAGCACTTGCGTTCTCAACTAAATCATTCCGATTAGCTATATACTATACTGCGGTACTATACTGCACTATAGTACCGCAGCATTATTAAGTAAAAAGTAGTAGTCTATCACTATATATATATATATATATATATATATATATATATATATATATATATATATATATATATATATATATATATATATATATTTAGTACGTGAGTGTGAACGCAAGCATAGGTGCACTATATATTTCCTCATCTTATGGTCCGATAGAATGTCAATCCAACTAGATCAGAGAGATCAGGCGGAAGATCAATGGCTGGTTAAGTAACAAGTTGTCTGTTCCCTTAAAGGTTATTTGTTATGTTAAAAGTAAGCTCATGACCCTCTGTTGATAAATTCCCTTACAATGCTTTAAGCATTAAAAGTAGCAGTATTAGCATTAAAGCAGCACTTTTTGATATAAAAGGGTGACAAACGAGCACACAGTCCATCTAATGGTAGGCGGATGCTTTGGCACATAGACATTTATCCACAGTTAAGAAATGGAATGCAGATGCGCTGTCACCCCTGAGGACTGAGATGGAACGCCTCGTTTCCACTAACACGGGGCTCTGGTTTTCCACACTCACCATACGAAACACAGCAGCATTAAACCGCTATTTTATACTGGCACTCAATATGTATTATCACAGGGCCAAAGTACTTGCCTTAAACTTTACAGTAAGTATGCGAGTTTCAAGTGCCACTAGCACTAAAAAAATTGTTAATTTCAATTTTAAGTTCCGATTTACCACATATCTATTTATATATAAAAAAGAACAAGAAATGTTTCTACCAATATCTGTTATAAACTTTGAAACCATTCAACTGATTTTGATGAAATTTTTGTGTGTATTTGAATGGGTCCCTAGATGGATTATATTCACATTTAGACCCGGTAGGTGGCGCTGTTGTCAAGATCCAGAAATCACCCGTGCGAAGCCGGGGCGGATCGCTAGTTTAGCAATAAAGGAATACATCTTGAGTGAACCTTCATGCCTGAGGAACAACATATTCAAACCATACGAATTTTTTATACTTATGTAGAGAAAGAAGAAGGAGCCGTGGTAGCTCAGATAGTTAACGCTCGCTGTAAATATCACAGTACGCGAGTAACCCGGGTTCGATCCCCGCCGGCACCAATGAAATTGTTAATTGCAATTTTAAGTGCTGATTTACAACGTGCTCGGCGGTGAAGGAAAACATCGTGAGGAAACCTGCATGTCTGAGGAATAAGAAAAAAATATTTCTAAGACATGTGAGGTTCGCCAACACGCATTGGGGCAGCGCGGCGTACACTTCCATGTCCTAAAACTCTCTAAGAAATGAGGTGGGGCCTGTGCCCAGCAGTGGGACGTATATAGGCTGTAACTTTACTTTTTTTACTTTTTACTTTATGTAGACAAATGCACTTAAGTTTACACATAATTAATTACCTTTTCATGCACACCACCCATAGATAGCCACACATTGTTTTTAGCTGCCAGTTCCCTGTAATGCCGGACTGTATCACCAGTGAGTAAAGGCTCAGCAGAACTTAAAGTATCCTTTTTGTTGTCACACATATAATCACAAGCTTCCGGAAAGAATATCATCTGAAATAAAGAAAAATGAGTTGAGCCTAGTTCTCTGTAATGTCGGACTCATCAATGAGTAAAGGTTCAACAGAACTAAAAGTATCTTTTTGTTGTCACACATATAATCTTGAGCTTCAAAAAAGAATAACATCTGTAATTTAAAAAAAGTTATAGAATTATGATTGATACTTTAGTCCTACGAGCATGCTGCAAGCATGAAGGTTTATTTGTTTCAAATTTAAAAATGCTAAGGCATGCATCAGAGCATTATTCAACAAGTCGCGGCATGAAAGTCTGGCGCTGAACGAAACGTGGAGGGGATAGCTCCGCATTTCGTAGCAGCCAATAGCCGTAGCCGTACGCAAGTAGCAGTAGCCAATCAGCGCGTGCGAACGATACGCACGCCCGCCCCGCGACCTGCTTACTACCCCATGGTACATTATTTTCGGCTTATGCGTAATAACTGTCATCACTAAACTTTTGTACCGTACTTATACATCAATTGAAACTGAAATTCCAAGAAAGTTTGTGTAGCAGGATTTTAAGGCCAATTATTATCATTGGTATTAAGATAGGAATAGAAAACTATAAATGAAGAATCCATAGGTCAGGATTTAAATCATATTTTAGGGTTTATTACCAATCACGTTCATACACACCAGTATAATACGTCATGTACCTGACCATTTTACATTTTTATGTGCCAAGTGAAGCGTCAAGTACACGGGCTGTATGACAGGTCTCCCTGTACTTGCATGCACTAATGTAAACAATGATATCTTTTTAATTTTGCAAGACAGTTATATATAAAACTTATACCTATTGAATCCTTATGAATTAAGCTATTTATTGTAAATGAATAATTATAAATGTATGTAAAATGTACAATAAAGTTGTAAGTGAAATGAACAATTCTACTTGTATACATATTATCAATCTTATTTCAAAATATTCTACCGGTTTCTTACATATAGAGCAAAAAATTGTTTTATTTGCAGATCAATAGAATATTTATCAACAATGATTAAAAAATCACACATCTCATTTAATTTTTTCACACTGCCAACTTTTTTACGCGGCAAAAAAATAGGTAAAAACAACCGAAATTTGTATACAGTGAAGTTTGCTTTTGAGACCAGATTACAGCCTTGTCTTTAATGTATATTGTTTACATTTACAAAGATTAGAATCCGAAAAAAACAGCATTTACTTTTTAAATTAATAGCGAGTTGTGGTTACTTGCGAAATGGGCACATGGGGTCGGCTGACGGGACAGCATGCATTAGCTGTCAACCTCATTGGATTACGTAACACTTGATCGGATAAAAGAAACTTAAATATCCAAGACACCACACAGATGTGTTGAAATAGACCTTAAATGGGATGTAATCATTGAAGTGTGTTGCACCATTATAGTGTAGTTTATATCGTTATAGTGTAGACGTTAACCTCGCTTTGTGGTAGAACTGGATAAGGTTTGAAAGTAAGTCGCCTGAATTGGGAGAGGGGTTTGGTGGGCAGGAGGGAGGGGGGTTTGGTGGGCAGGAGGGAGGGGGGTTTGGTGGGCAGGAGGGAGGGGGGTTTGATGGGCAGGAAGGAGGGGAACTTGTGGAGTCGACGACCCCCACATTTTTAAAAATCTCGTTTTGGGGTTCTGTTTTCATAGTGTTTTTGACAACATATAACTGATTTATGGGGGGAGCGAGATAGGGGAGAGAAGTTTAGTTTAGTTTACGACGACGTTACGACGGACTGTTTTCCGTAACTCCACGTCTAGGTGCGTGTTTTGCGTGTGGGCAGGAATAATGTAATGATTTCTTATATTTACGCGAACACTATACATGATTAATTATATATATATATATATAATTTCAATAGCCTCACGTATCATGGATTCCTACCAACGATGATACGTGAGGCTATTGAAATTAAAAAACATCCTAATTTCAATAGGGAAGGAGGCTGGGTACTACCACTGCTTGCGATCCTATAATCAATAAAATTAAAACTAAACCAACGCATACCACTGCAAGACCTCAGGACATAGTCAGTTTATTTTGCATAGATCGAACCATAAACAATAATTAAAAAAGCTGAAGGTACTCCGGGTTTAACAATGACATCGGGACGTAGTCATCTCAGTCCCCCGTGACCATGGGTGCTGGAAAGCGCCCGAAACGTCGGGAATTAAAAATAAAAGTAAATAAAAAGTAAAAATAAACGCGATAAAATCCGTAAAAGTAGTTTTAATCAGGAATAATGTAATTATTTGAGCCATGAAATCTCCCCGAAGAAGTTCAACAGTCCTTTGATGTTGCAAGCAATTTCGGGGAGCGATCCCGGCGTGCCGAGATGTTTAGCCCACTATGCAGCGACCTCCGGACATGTCAGCAACACGTGAGCCGCCGTTTCTTCCTCCCCCATGCATGCCCTACACAGAGGGCTTTCTGTAACACCTATGGTAATTAAATTTTTGTTAAAGGATCCATGTACTGTGATAGCACTTGTTACTATTCTGATCTGTGGCTTGTTCAGTCTCATTAAAACCTTGGTTAGACGACTGTTTATTTCAGGCAGGACCTCCCTAGCTCGTCTGACAGTCTACTAAATTTTTCCGAAGCTGAGCGTGTAAATTATTGAAGTTTCTACGTACCAGTGAACGAACGTAACCAAAGGGGATTGGTATTATTGGTTCCGGCCCTGTAGTGGCCAGAGCCGATCCCCTTCTGGCCAGTTCATCTACTACATCGTTGCCTCTAGATCCACTGTGGCCCTTAATCCATTGCCGTCACATTGTTGTGCTTACATACGTCATTTAATCGTTGATGGCATTCATATATTAGTCCCAAGATCACCACATTACAACTCAGAGCTTGTATAACCGCCATACTGTCGGTCAGTATTCTGATGGAGAAGTCTTTTTACTTTCCTAGCATCTATTGCTATGGCCGCTTAGACGATACCCATACATTCCGCCTGTAAAGACTGTGTTATGGGTACCCAGCGGTGTACATATGTGGATATTAAAGTCTTCAGAGAAAGTTCCAGATCCAACACCTTAATTTGTTTTAGAACCATCTGAGAAAACTCTTAGCTCTTTTGGGTTTAATCCCTTCGGCTGGTCAGTTTCATTTAATTGTATCCTTATACTTCTCATCGAATACAAATTGTTTTGGTATTTTATCGTACTTGGCTTGTAAGATAGGAATTTTTGAGTAAATTCTATCAATTATATCTGTACGGCAGACTCTACTCTTACTTAAAAGATCTTGAGTCTAATGGCAGCTAAAGTTGCTTCTTGTTGTATATGTAGGTGTCGGTGTAGTTCTTATGAAGCCCGTGGCAGCCATACATGCAGCCATAGGAGAGGGAAGCGCCACGTCACTCAACATGGCGCAGTTGAGGGAAGCCCGGTCAACTTATAAAAAAAATAAAAAAGCTGTCAGAGTCGGGGTGCCTTAAGTCCCGAGCTCGCTTCGCTCTCTTAGATACAATACCAAAAATTAACTTTTATAATTACTTGAAATCATAAACATAATTTGTAGCTGCCACCATATGTAAAAGGATCCAAAGGGGTAGCGAAGTCGTCGAAAAACACAAAGCAGAGGCATTAGTGAGCACATTCACGTAAACTCGGAAGCAACGGAATGACGTAAAGTATATCTGTCAGTGTCAACAAAATGACTGGGCTAGCGATTCATCTTACGCATTTTGAGATGATTTTCACGTCAAAAACGTTAGAATTTAGTTACCATTAGTCCAATTAGACCAATTTAGACGCCATTAGTTAGTGATTTACCAAAATTTAAAAAAAATAATTAAAAATACTGTGATGCCGGTCTCGCAGCAACAATCGCATGGGGGTGCTTCAGATAAGCCCCCTTGAACCCCCCCCCCCCATAGTGACAGATCCTCAAATTCAAGCGACTTACTTTCGAATTCAACCGTAGAATTCAAAAAATAAGTTAGTTTGACCAATAAATATATGTTGGCTGATGAGAACAAACAATGTGGTAATCCATCTTTATTATAATGTCAGGAATAATAATGCAACCACATTTTGCTTTATCAAGGAAAAAGGCTATATATTTATACTATCCAGTAATCACTTACCACCAGCAAGATAACTACTTAGCTGCTTGTTTGTCCTTGCCTTGCTGCAATTACTTGTATAAAAATAGAATAAATTGATAAACTTACTTGAACTTCCTCTTTGCTTGCATCACTAATAAGTTTAGTAACAACTTGCAAATTGGAAGCTTTGTCTGCAACAGAAGTCATCTGGCACACGGCTATTTTGTTTGTACTCATATTTGAATTGCTAAACTGTCTAAAATATGTTATTAAATTGCTTCGTATCCTATTAAATACGGATGCAGACCAATGCTAAAAAAAAACAGTTTTATGAAAAATAACAATAACAAAACATTTTAACATAATTAGTCTAACATAAAGACGTGTTGTTATTAGTTTGTGAATTTCTATCAATGCATCCAATAGATGCGCATGTGACTATGGCCAAAGAATAAATAATAGTACTACGTACAGATATTGCACTCCTTTGATATTGACTGCTTGCCGACGTTTAATAGACTACATTATCATTATAGTCAATCAAATCTAAGAAATACCTTTTGACGTTTCTCATTAATCATTCCGCAATAACTTTGTACAAGCGTACTTAAAGGATTTCAAATTAACCTTTTACATAAATTCCAATAATTATAAAGTATTATATATTTCATTACAACATGTATAGTTTTATATCATTTATTTAAGTTTGAAACATTCAAAATATTAAAAAATAATCTACAGTCAACTTTTTTGCCTGACGTTGTTTCAACGATATATCGCTATGTACCTTAGCGTAGTGTATTGATGATTAAATTCATTGTTATGCGAATAATCGTCAAAAATATTCCAATAATCGGTATAAATATTCTAATAATCGAATCTTTAATTTTTTTTTTGTTTGACTATTAAAATTTTTATTTTTAAAATTGCCTAAGTTATATGAATCAATCAAATAGTAATTAATCTTAACAACGACAGCTCAAGCAGTTGTAGTGATAGTGATTGAATATTTATTTTATACAATTTAAATCTAAAAATTTTATATTTTTACCTTTTGAAATAAGCAGAAACAATAAATACGAAGAAACCCATAAATTTTGTGTTTTAAATTATCCGTTTCTAATTTATTCTGGTACTAATCGAAACAAAACTGTAAATGATTACCTACTCTAAAGAATCGGTATATTCTTAAGAATAGAATATTGTATGTACCGATTTTTTGGTTGGCATGCCTAGTACAATAAGTCTGACAGCTGTGTGGTCTCTCATACATAGGGCAAACAAAGAGATCTATTAAAACCCGCGTAAAAGAACATATAGCTGACGTGAAGCATCAACATTCTGGGAAGTCTGCAGTTTGTGAGCATATCCTAGGTGGCCCCAATCATTACATCAGATTTGATAGACCACAAATCCTCCCGAAATAACATCGATTCCTACCAAGTATGATACGTGAGACTGTTGAATTAAAAAAAAACACCCATATTAAATAGAGAAGGAGGCTGGGTACTACTACCTGCTTGGGATCCTATAATTAATAAAATTAAAACTAAACCCAAGCATACCACTGCAAGACTTCAAGATCGCGTAAGTTCATTCTGCATCAGACCATAAACAATAATTAAAAAGCTGAAGGTCCTTCGGGTTAAAATTGACATCGGGCATCAGTCACCTCAGTCCCCCGTGACCCGAAACGTCGGTAATTAAAAACATTTAAAATTAAACGCAATCAAATCTGTAAAAGTAGTTTAATCAATACATTGCGAAAAGGTAATTAAGTTACTTAGGTAAGTACCTATTCTGATTATGATCGACTGACCGTATTTTTGCACCTATGTGAGCTCTGCGATGCACAACGCATGCAACTTGCAAGGCCATTCGTCGGGAGTCGCGATGCTTGGCTCAGAAGAAACAAATACAAACGTGAAAATTAAAAATAATTTCACTGACCCATCTATTTGTTTATTATAACTATATATTACTTGAGCTCTATCTACTAGAAGTAAAAGTATTCTGTGATTAAACACTTGGGCGTAACCGCTAATCCGTTAGTTCAACCTTACTGCCGTTAGATGGTGTTCACGTTGATTGTGTAAATGTGTGAGTGCATCATTCGAGGTCACTTGGCTCTTGTAGTCCTCTTAAAAGAAGTAATTTTAACAGTGGTAGAGCCACGCGGCAGCTTTGATGTTACACGTATGGGCCGGCTCAAACCGGGTTGGTACCACGACCTCACAGAATACCGGCGTGTAGTGGAAGCTCTGTTTCCGCGTTTCGTCTGGTGGGTACAGGTGGCGGGAGGCCCAAATCCCCCCTCCCCATCAACATGGTAGCGGAATTAAATGATGATAGACTACCCCAGGAGGGTACCAGCACCCCTGGAGAATCCCTCGCTGAGCATCCATGACCACGTTTCTCCACTCCTGAACGTGGGTGCTCAGGCTGCCCCACGTATTCTGGGGGAGGGGCAAAATTCCGCTCAAGACTACAACTGCTCGGGGCAAACGGAGCAACAAGACCAAGGCGACCCCTGCCACGCTCTCCGTGAATTTCTGCAATATCAGGGGACTTCACTTTAACCCAAAACACCAGCGCTCTAAAAAAGAAGTATAATTCCGCCTCTAGATCCTTCAAAAGAGTCATTGCCAAAGCAAAGTCAGAGCACATAGGCAGAATTGGCGAGAAACTAGTTCGCCTTCTTTCTGGAACCCGTGCATTCTGGTCTCTCGCCAAGGCTGTCCAGGGGAATTTGTGTCAGCCATCTCTTCCATCTCAGCACAGGGAGGACGACTCACTGGCCCATGCCGCAAAGGAGAAAGCCGATCTGCTAGGCTCTTTCTTTGAGTCCAACTCGACCCTCGATGACGGGGAGAGTACGCCGCCGACCATCCCGCGGTGTGAGTGCTCCATGCCGGAAGTGCAGTTCACACAGTGCTCGGTTCGCAAAGCACTCCTCTCCCTGGACATCCATAAGTCGAGTGGGCCTAACAGAATCCCCCCAATTGTGCTGAGGACGTGTGCTCCAGAGTTGGCACCGGTTTAAACGCGTCTTTTCCGGTGCTCCTATTCCCCAGGCGTAGTCCCAAAATCATGGAAGACGGCTTTCGTCCACCCGATCCCTAAAAAGGGCGACCGCTCAGACCCGTCCAACTACCGGCCTATCGCCATCACCTCCTTGTTCTCGAAAACAATGGAGTCTATTGTTAACTGCCAGCTCATGAGGTACCTTGAGGATCACCAGCTGATTAGTGATCGCCAATACGGGTTTCGCCGTGGTCGGTCAGCTGGTGATCTTCTGATCTACCTAGGAGGCAGTAGAGTCCAAGGGGGAGGACATTGCGAAGGCCTTCGATCGGGTTTGGCACAAAGCGCTTCTTTCGAAGCTCCGTTCCTATGGGCTTCCCGAGAAATTGCGCGACTGGATCACCAGCTTTCTTGCAATCGGAGCATTAAGGTCGTTGTAGACGGTGCAAGCTCCGATTACAAGCCTATTAATGCTAGTGTTCCACAAGGCTGCGTGCTATCGCCAAATCCGTTTCTTCTGCATATCAACGATATGTTGCAAACCCGTAACATTCATTGCTATGCATATGACAGCACTGGTGATGCTCTTTACACCGGCCGTGCCAATATTTCTCGGGAAAACGTCTCCGAGTACCGGGACAAACTTGTGTCTGAAGTCGAGTCTTTGCTGAACAGAGTCTCGGATTGGGGGCGACTAAATCTAGTCCAGTTTAACCCCCAGAAGACACAAGTTTGGGCGTTAACCGCTAAAAAGAACCCCTTTGTCGTATCTCCTCAGTTTCAAGGCACTCCCCTTGTTGCGTCAGCCAGTATTGGAATCCTCGGCATCGACATATCGAGTGACGTGCAATTTCGTGGTTACTTGGAAGAGAAGGCCAAATTGGCCTCTAAAAAGCTTGGCGTTCTCAACAGAGCGGGACAGTATTTCATGCCGGCACACCGCCTGCAACTTTACAAGGCGCAGGTTCGGCCGCACATGGAATACTGTTCCCATCTCTGGGCTGAGGTTCCCCAGTACCAGCTCCTTCCACTTGACCGCATCCAGCGCAGAGCGGCTCGAACCGTCGACGACCGAGTGCTTTCCGATCGGCTCGATTCACTGGCGTTGCGAAGAGATGTTGCATCTCTTTGCATTTTCTTTCACATATACCATGGGGAGTGCTCTGAGGTATTGTTCGGATTAATCCCAGCCACCAAATTTCGTGAACGCACTACGCGGCAAACGTCCCGATACCATCCACACCATCTGGATGCTTGGCGGTCCACCACTGTACGTTTCAAAAGGAGTTTTCTTCCGCGTACGACCTCTCTGTGGAATAGTTTACCACCGGCGATTTTTCCGGACCAATACGACCTGGAGACCTTCAAGAAAACAGCTTACTCCTTTCAAAAGGGCCGGCAACGCACCTGCAATTCCCCTGGTGTTGTGGTTGATCATGGGCGGCGGTAGTCACTTAACATCAGGTGAGCCACATGCTCGTATGCCCCCTCTTCTATTAAAAAAAAACTTATGTGAGTTCTGCGATGCCAAATGCTTGCAACTTGCTAGGCCATTCATTGGGAATCGCGCTGTTTGGCTCAGAAGAAACAACAAATAAACCTTAAATACAATTCCTAACAGAAATGTGATCCTATTCTACATAGTTAAAAATCTTGTTAGTAAAAAAAGCTTTAATTTCAGTATTTTGTGTTTTCTTAAATTTACGCGAACACTACACATTGAATAAAACTAAATTTACGGATTTTATCGCGTTTATTTAATTACTTTTACTTATTTTTAATTCCCGACGTTTCGGGTGCTTTACAGCAACCATGGTCACGGGGGGGACTGAGATGTTTGACGTCCCAATGTCATAGTTAGTCCGGCTACCTTCAGTTTTTGAATATTAATTTTTGGTCCGATTTACGCAAAACGAGCTTATAGTATCATGAAGTCTTGCAGTGGTATGCTTAGGTTTGGGTTTAATTTTGTTAATTATAGGATCCCAAGCAGGTGGCAGCACCCATCCATCTTCTCTATTGAAATTTGGATGTTTTTTAATTTCAATAGCCTCGCGTATCATCCTTGGTAAGGAATCGGTGTTCTTTTGCGAGAATTTGTGGTTTATCAAAACGAATGTAATGGTGGGGACGATCTTGAACATGTTCGCAGACTGCAGACTTCCCTGAGCGTCGGTGCTTCACGTCAGCTATATGTTCTTTCACGCGGGTTTTTATGGATCTTTTCGTTTGACCTATGTAAGAGAGACCACATTCACAATCTAACTTGTACACTCCTGCGTCTTGTA